CGAGCTTATAGATGGCCATCGAGACTTGCTAGTCCTCAAGTGAGATTAGGCAAGATCTCATAGCCATCTCAATCTCACGGATCCGGAGGGTGCGATTTCCCCCCTCCTTCCCCCAGTTATGGTTTACGTCCACCCGAAGGGGATGAGGCTTATCCTCTTCGTCTTTCATCGTCACGTAGCGATTTCGCATAGCCGATGCTACTTGATTTTAAACGTGCCCCACAAGCGGCCGTTTCGTTCTGCATGACTGTCTCGACTCTTTCATTTATCGCATCGGGTCCTTGTGCAGCCAGAAACTTCCAAAATCAGGGCCCACGGCCGCGGTCAGCTTCTCAAGCGCGACATTTTGAGCCTCAGAGAAGGGTATAAATTACTCCATCCTCACAGAGGATCAGTCGTTACCGACTCAGGCGTTGATTGACTACAAGTGCTACCAAGCGTAGCGGAGCTACACAGCTCCTTAAGTCAGAGGAAGACCTAACGCTCTTACAAATAACTTTGGTTCCACGAACCCGACTCAAAAAATCAACGGCTCCGAGAGCTAAGGTTTGGTTCAAAGAACCCGACTTAAAGAGTCAACAAGCTCAGAGAGCTTACGGTCCCTGTTCCAGGGGGACCAAACGATTCAAAGAATCAAATGCACAGAGTGCACAAGGAGTAGCTGCCTTAACAAGGCGTTGCTATCTCCTCAACGATCACAAGACGCCTCAGAGAGGCACGTGTCTATCGGATCAAAACGGGAACTGAATTTTATTTCTTCTTTTAATCTAAAAGAACACCTTCGAACAATGTCATTAACCTACTCGCTAATGTCCTAAATAAACATCTCAAAAGATCTCGTAAACAATGGTTGACAGACATCAGTCTTCAACAATTGATACTGTGTTCTAATATTACTTTAAAAGGGAATCCAATCCCTTGTGTGCACCACACCTATTGTCGACTACCAGTCGACGTGTAACCCCGCTACAGTTTCAGTGCAGAAATCAAGTATAAAAAATAACACGCCACACACAGACGCATATAGCATCATCGTTCCCCTCGATAGAATTCTTCCTCGTGACCCAATCGTATTCGACCCCTAGCTCGATCTTCAATTTCACAATACAAACTTACCCGATGACGGGACGCGTTTTACATCCCCAACTGAAAGACTACCTGTCCCCAAGTACACAAAGACATATAATCAGTTATTTTGGGTCGTAATTTGGGCTCGTCTTTACAGATGGCAAAACGACAGCGGTTTATAGCACCGAGTTCTACGCTAAGAGAAGATCAAAGAACACAGTCAAGATTATAGGAAAACCACGACCCTGACCGGGTCCCCGCCGTTTCAAGAGAAGGCGAACAAGCCCATGAAGCCGAGCCTTACATGCAATGTGTCATCTCTAGCCGCAATTGCATTCCTATGAATGTACGCGGACCTACGTAAACGAAACCATCGGAATAAGGTAGGACCGTGGTCCGCCTACGGCATACAAATTGAGGCTCTGACAAGTAGCTAATCATTTCTTCTGCAACTTCACGGCGATATGTAAAAGTTGACGAGATGTCCTGCGACTGAGCACACTTTCTGGCAGAACAAGATGTAAATGGTATTGGTTTTGCATACTAGTGCGTCACCTATGTCCTTGATGTACAGGGGTCAGTGGACAACGCCAGGATCTAGGAGGAGCTCACAAGACAAGAATTAAGGGTAAGTGACAGACTGTTTTGCTCAGCATGACAGTCTTATGATTCTTTTCCGACGCGCATGTCGCTACAAACGATGACACTATGCAGCTGCGATCAATTTTTGGGCATATCTGTATCGTGAATGACAGGATGACTGGATAATCAGTGTGGATACGCCGTCGCTCTCAAGCTGCTGATAAGCCTACGTCATGAAGAGTGCTAGGTTGCAAAGGTACGTAAGTGACCCTGTTCTTTAAATATTTATATATACCTAAGCGCTCCGGGGTCAATGGTATGCAGTGGACTGGCGAATATGTCTACAACCAGCAGATGCTAAGGTAACGAAGCCGCTGTTGTTACCGCAGCTGTCTACTAATATCTAACGGATACTCTGCGCATGTAAATATATATTACAGAGTCACTTATCCGTCAAATGAATTGTCCATCCTCGAGCTTATATAGATACTGATAGCTCGAGCTTTGTCAGACGAAGGCACCGCGGAACGCACTCAGTGAAATGCAGCTACAACATTTGGCGGGTCCGGATCACGCGTGTCGAGGCTATTGCTTTAAAGATAAAATGAGGTTAAACTTATACTGAGATCAGCTACGTGCTCATATTTTGTCTTTATACCTCAAACGTATCTAGTGCATGTAAACTTTCTAATTAGCGATTATTCCATTTTTCCTATACAAGGTGCATTATTACATGTATGATGAATTAGCTTAAGGACAAACGTGTCATCCTCATCATTGTTAAGTGCAACAAACAAGTAGATCCGTGAAGAAATTGTCATGCTTATAATACAGCATAAAGGATAGCTTGAAAGACATTCAAAACAATAATTCGTGTGATGTCAAAGCATTAATTGCTGAACTATTGGTATTACTATATTAGCTGTCAACGTTGGAGAACGTGATGCAAGCAATAAGAACATGTATATTTTTAGTGCGTTGACGAGAAGTGGTGGGGCGTGCCGAAATTGCCTTGAAACATCAAAAGTGGCACCACCATCACCACCTCATCTTATAGGCACCCATCATATAAGTGCTAGTCTCAAAGCAATGGAGGTTCCCTATAAATGTAGCCGATAATCGTGACCTTAATCGTACTTGCAGTGGCCGAAAGAATATTGGATATGTTCTTGATCGGGTGCGGGATATTCACTTGGACATTGAAGATGACGCATTTGATTCGATACTTTCAGGTAGCCCATAGTTCCTGCCCCGTGACATGTCGGTGATCCACCGGAAGAGGTGGAGTCAGTCCACGGTACAACTGGTTGTAGCAATGTCTTATCGAAGCGGTTTCTTTTCTCGAATCATATTCAGATTGTGAATACGATTGGCCTTGTCCTCCAGAAACTTAAAACAATGATTCATCGCCTATTATAGCTACTGCTTTATACACTTGTTTAGTACACGCCATAGAATCATTTACACTCGACACCTCTGGCAGAAAATCATCATGAATGGTGCTGAAGGTAGGACTTGAGTGACCTGTTGAACATCATGGGCACAAACAAATTAGACAAGTACGTTAAGAATGCGAATACCACCTACCTGTGACGCCTGTTGCAAGATTAGCTAATGACCTTCGCTCCAGTAGTGGACACACAAAGCATCGACTTTCTACTTATATTCGACACGTCAGGTCGCATGTCGCCATCAACCTCGGACTGTGCTGGGGGGCGTAATTGAGCAGTCGTTGTCTTGCTGACGATTCTCCATCCAGAAATCTGTAACCAGTAGCTTTATAAGTCGCGATAGGATCAAATAAAGATAAACAGTAAGCGTTGCTGCACGTACCGGCTTGAACCCGCCTCACGTCAGTGCAGCACGTACCTGGCTCGAACCTGTTTTACTTCAGTGCAGCACCTTAAATCGAACTTGTCTTACGCCAGTGCCGTAGTTTAGCTCGTATTTCTTGGAGTTTGTTTCTAAACGCTAAGACGTAACGTTTAGCACTGGTGTGTGGAGGGAGCCTTTATATATACATATTCATATATAGTTCTATATGTTGATATACATATTTTTGTATTGATCGCAGACGCAAGGCTATGTACCGCTGTCGTTTTGCCATCGTCAAGAAGAGCACAAATTACGACACATTAATAACTGATTATATGTCTTTGTGTAGTTGGGGATAGACATGGGGACAGGTAGTCTTTCAGTTGGGGATGTTTAACCCGTCCCCCCGATGACAGTTGCGCTTGGTGCGCTTGGTCGCAGTTACAGTAGAGCCCGCGCGCTCGCAGACGGCACAAATTCCGTCCCGAGACCGGCGTCTGTCAGAGTGCGAGCTCGGATTTCAATTGAAAGTTTGTCGTAAGTGCATCAAAATCTCTTCCACGGATTCGAACATATCAGGCATTCTTGTTTTGCCTCTTCGTGTCCGTGTCAAACAGGGCTCTAATGGCCATTTGCCGTTCGTACATCGTATGTCGTACGTTTTTTCTGTATGTCAATTAAAGCCCCTGATGTAGCTCTTCTCACAACATTACAAGATGTGTAGGTATGTTTGCGGCTCGGGCAATGTCGATGACTCAATGACATCGAAGCCCGCAGTCTGTAATTACTGGCTCTTGACGCGTCGAAGTGGACGTAAATGTCATCGAGAGTCATGTTCATCCACAATTAAACGCAAAACATACCTTTTCTCGCTAACATGGTCGAAGCACCGTAATTGGCACTCAAATAGACCTCACGTTGCGTACAATGTGTCGTCTTCTCATTCTCAGTCCGATGACACGCTGTACCATGCTTCCAGACCCCATCGCCGCAGCTCATTGAGTGCAAGGTGTCACCCATTTCCTTATTTGGCTTCAACAAAATTGCTAACGACGAACCTTCGGAGTTTAAAGCGCAACTTTGGGGCCATGCAGAGCGGCGGCTCTTGCATTCAGTTAGCCTCCGTTTCGGTGCAACGTCTAGTTGCAATCGAAACTCCAGGCAAAATCGCGACAGTGCCATCGGCGTTGTTGACCCCAACTTCTCAGGCGTATTGGTGAAGAAAACTTGCGCACGTTGTCAGCGAGGGGGTGGCCATTGGGCTGCAAATGATATGGAAGCATTAGAATCAAAAGTATGTGATGACCAAACGTATGTTCTACCCAGCGAAAGCAGTACTTCTTTATCGTCGTCCTACTTTTATGTGTAGACCGTAAGACCAAACCGTCGATGAACTTCGTCATCAATCGGTTCAAATTGTGCCCAAAAGACCCGAAACATGTGAAGTGTGGGATAGATTGCACGACACATAATTCAATTTATCAAAAGCAGCGGTAATTGCGTTATTGCGTCAACGTTCACTATACCATTCCGCTTCATTCCTCTGGCGATAAGCCGCATTCCCTCAAGAAGCGCTCCGTCTGGTCACGGTCTGTGTATCCAGAGCGCAGGTTACACTGGATGCTAGTGTCCAGTGACACGATGTGGTGGTACCAGAATGACGGAAGATATAAGACTTCACCAGCTGTCAGCGCCACTTCCGTCGCGGGGCAATTGCGCACATCCTCAGGCAGAGCACTAGTGTTCGACCAATCGTACGACGTGTGGCGTTCAGATTGCCCTGTAGTGATGAGTCCTTGGCATCGACAAACGCTGGGCGGGGCAATCACATAACGCTTGGTTCCGCGGACCATGGCGATGTGATTGAGGCCGTCGTCGACGTGGCCATCGGTAACAATACCCTGCATACCAAAGCGGCAACGCATGCCATGCTCCTTAGCTACAGCTGGGTCGCGAATAAATAGGTCACCGAATCTCAAATCACGCTCAGCCGTTAGCGGGTTCATGAACGGAAGTTCGTCGTAAATAAACGCCGCCTGCTTCGAGAAGTCACCTGCTTTCAGCATGAAATAAAAGTACTCATGAGGCTTTCCATTTGTTTCGAGCGACATGACGTCGTCCACTGCCTTCGTAAACTCCGGGTACGTCATCCAGCGCGATTCATATGTGTCGGTCTCACCAGCAAGCTGCTTGCTCTTGCTATAGTACATGAAATGGCGGTCGTTTGCAACGTGGACCTTATACAATTCGTTTGGGCTCAGCTTGTCCGTCAGATACTCGTCCGTCCACCGGCTTGCGGCTTTCGTGAGCTCCGGCACACCGTACGCTACAAATGGCACCTCCATCTCTCGATACATTTGAGCCAAACGGAACTCATGCTGGAACAAGAAAGTCTTTAAACCAGCAACTCTCAACAATCGGTAGTTAAGTTTGCACTACGCACCGGAACAGAGACATTGAAGTGGCAGATACTATCATACAGGGCCCGAGGCATGCGTGCTGCGTGGTCCTGATTCCAATTGTCAAACAGAGCAGCAGACGGGAATAACTGTGGGTAACCTTTGCACCCCTCTGCTCCATCCATATCGCACAGGTACCGAAGTGTCGGCAAATCGCACTGGAACTTGTTTTTTACCCCATTGGGATACACAAGAGGCAATGGCCGTTGCACCTGTTGACCTTCTAAAATCACGACATCATCGCCGGTGCCCCAGCGCAAAGTGTTGGAATCATTGCCTGCTTGCAAGGTCAACCGTTCGTGAACGGCTTTCGCTAAAGAGTACGATGTCTGGTAATGCGACATAGAGGTTAGCCACAGGCCTAGACTCACAAGTGTCATTCCAAATAGTATCACGAAAGAGGTAGAAGCTCTAGTGCATTGACCCTGGCGTAGTTGCCAGATCATGCGGCGCAGGAACGCAGAGACGCGCAGGTGGGCTGACCCTGACGAGGTCATCTTTCGAAATGACGAAAGTGTGGTTGCTAACCGATTGCGTACCTTAGAAATGTTTCTGACGTAATGGGTGCACAAATCAGATACAACGGTACTGGCGAGCAACCCACGATTTGAGGCTGGACCGCGTCGGCATCTATAAATAGAAGAAGCTACAACAGTCAGCCATTTCTTTTTCGGCCACGATTAGGGGCACACCCCACTTTTGCTCGGGGCACACCCGCTCTTTTAAAATGGTAAAAAAAACCTTTACATTTTATGGTGCAGAATGAGTAAAACACGTAGTCACGTACCACTGCTCGATATGTCCCTATCTTAAACGGTAAATGCACTCATTTGCGAGATTTTATCAATCCATCTTGGCCAGGGCGCTTTCCGGACGGCACTGCCTGCCGGGTCTCGAAGGCGGTATACAATCCAATGGTACGATGCCAAGATCTGACCATCGGCAGTGGCAAAGACATCCTAGTTTCTACGTGCTCACAGTCACGAGTCGTTTGTAGGCGAACCCCACCGATTCTCACGAGTCGAGAGCGTAAAGTCGTCGCGGACTTTGCCAAAGATCTCTATATGACACACGCCGCGAACGTGGAGATACTTCTGCAAGCGTGGAACAAAATTCGCGCGTGGCAGGAGGCACACAAGTCGTTAAAGTTTCCAATTGAACGTTCGGGTATTGCGTGCAAAGTGTGGTTTGACTTGCACGAGTCGCCGACGTTTCGGCGTGGCGCGGAAGAAAGAAGAAGGCACAGCGGTTCGGCGATTGGCCACGGGACAAAAAGACTCGAAACTGGTGAAGAAGTCGCACGAGATTACAAAGCGCATGCCAGTGCCGGGAAGACCAGCAGCACAATTGTCTGACCCGGTACAAGACAGCGCTGAAGGCGGGGAAAACGCGGTCAACCTTTACGCCTGAAGAAGATTAGATCCTGCGTGAACTGTCCCGGTCTTTGGCGAAAAAGTGAGCGTGGCTGCAGATTTGATGGACGGCCGTGTGTCGGAGCAGGTTCGCCATCGATGGCAGCTCTCGCTTGCACCAGGTCTTCGGTGAGACAAGTTTTCGCTGAGTGGGGTCGACGGCTGCTGCTCGCACTTCGTGCATGCGTGCCAAAAGGCGGTGAGTCCAATCAGGATCAAGTGCCGTGGAACGACATTTGTCATGATGTGCCCGGGCGGACACAGCCAGCGCTTCGGGACCGATACGTTAACTGCATCGACCCGGACTTGCCGTTTTGTAAGTTCACCGAGCAGAAAGATGGCTCATTCTTACAAGATAGCGCGAGTGGGCATTGAGTCGCCCAGACTCTGGCCGCGGCTTGCTGCTGAGCTAAGTGGCCGCACGAAATCTCAACTGTGTCGATGCTGGATACAATTGGATCTAGACGCTTATGACAAACGTTGTCGCGCACTGATTGATGCAAGCAAAAGCCAGACATCAGCCGTCTTCCGTCGCCGGTTGATACATCAACATGACCCTTGCTTTGGGAAGAAACACACCAAGCGTAGTACGTATATGGTCTCACAGTGGATCAAGTAGTAACCGAGTCGTTTCCGCGGGGTCGTGCAGCTATAGTGCTGTATAGTTTCGAAGAGTTGGAAGTCCTTTTTATCATTTTAGGAGATGGGTGTGCCCGTAGTCGTTAGCTTTTATCCACCTTGCGTAAATTTTTCTTCTGGCTGTTGGGCAATTAAAATAGAAGAAACCACTGACAATAGCACGGTGACGTGGCGCAAAAGACGAGTCCTGATTTGACTGACGCGATAGCCGATGAATTTGCTCAACAGACGCTCCTGTCCATTTTCAAATAAGAGTGACATTATTAACAAATGTGAATACGCACAAGCACACAATAAGGTTGGTTCTCTGGGGTAGTGGTGCAGATGGCTAATCTTTTAGATGATGAATGCCGATTCAATTCTTTTAATGTGATAAAAAACCTGAGGGTGACAATCGCAGTTTGATTCCCACAGTATCCGAAACGCCTCTACTACCTCTCAAAAACCATGGTTGGAATATACCGGATATAATGGGTCGTTCGCGAACCCAAATATACCTTACCAAACCAACCAACAAGCACACAATAGACGTTACAATACATCGCACATCTTTTGATATTCGACACTTCTTGCAGGGCAGTGTCGTTGCTAATTGTTGCGATTCTTTATGAATATAAAGCCATAGTTGCATCCTCTGATGACATTTAAGTGTTGAGCTGGAATTCCGCTGTGATTTTAAGAGTGGCACTGTAACGGGGCAGCCCGTTACATGATATTGTCACTTAAGGAAAGTGACAATGAAGAATATAAGATGGATATTCTTTAAACAATATCACCAAAGTGGTGATATTGAAGGGTCGACCAAAGGGTCTGTTCATTGGTTGATATCGTGATGATATCAACCCACCAATCGCCGCAAGACGCGCGCAATGAGTGGTGACGAGACGTCACCATACATGCAGTTATATTAGTATAATTGAATTAAGTCAAACGAAGAGACAGTAGTTTAAAGACTTAATTTATTAATATAACAGTTCTACTTTTACCCTACCTACGCTTCCTCGCTCGCCACGTGTACGTCCGTCGGGGCACCCAAATCCCTTGCGTTAAGTTACGCAAGGGTGTGCCCCGTTACACCTGGTAGCACTTTGTAGTCCTTCCAAGGACCACATCATCCAACATGAACATGTTGGATGAAGAAGACACCTTTCACGCCACGCGTGAAGGGTTTACCCATTTGAGTGACATCGAATGGGGTGCGGTAGAACGAATGAGTTCTACCGTAGGCGAACTCGTCGTCAGCACCATGTTGGAGTCTCTAGACAGAGACCAACAACATGCTGCTATCGCCAAGTTCATTCACAATGAACTTGCTCTCGAGAGGTAGAAAGTAGCCTTGCTTCACCAGCAAGGCTCTCAACAGGCCGAGCAGTTGAGAGAACTCGGTGCTCAACAGACGGAGCTGTTGAGACAGCAGCAATTCCATGCTGCTGTGGGCGGGACGGCGCATGCGCGTCGTCCCGAAGTGATGAAAGTTGACATCTCCAAGTACAGTGGAGTCCCGGAGGACTCCCTGTTACTATGGTTTGTCGAACTCGACAGAGCCCTAAGGGCTCGTCGCGTCGAAGATGAGCAAATGAAACTCACATTTGCTCAGACCCACTAGGCAGGGCGTGCCAAAACTTGGTCCCTGGGACTCGAGAGTAGCGACCCAAATGTGTTTAGGTCGCTAGATGACTTCAAGTCCCGGCTCAGACAAACGTTTGAGCCGCCACGTGCTGAGTTCAGGGCTCGTTCAGAGCTCCTGAAACTCAAGCAGGGTAAGCGTGATGTGCACGCTTACGCACAACATATACGACTCCTTGCGAGTAGTATAACTGCAAACCCAGTTCATGAACACACGTTGATTACGGTGTTCATGCAAGGGCTCGCAGAAGGGCCCGTCAGGAGCCACCTATTCCGCCTTGAGCTGAATACGCTGGAAGATGCGATATCAGCCGCGGAACAGGAAGACTTTAGCATGAGACAGGCTCATGCTAGCTCAAACTCTTACCGTCCACCGAGACGACAAGAGATCGGAGGTCCAGAACCAATGGACCTCTGTTATGTTGAGAGCGAGAGACCTCGCTCTACAAGCAACAAGCGATTGCAGAGGTGCAATCGCTGTCAGAAGTTAGGGCACTACGCATACGAGTGTAGTGCTCCGCGCCCAGTACCAAACAGTACTGAGCGAAATGGACGACCATTCGCCAGAAAGGGCAATGGGCGTGGGTCCAGCGCTGTTGCGAAGCCGCAACAGCGAGACGGGCCATCAAAAAATGGTTGGGGTCAGTAGGGGCGGAGCGCCCTACTGATCCAGCAACCTCAAGAGAATTTGCAAACCTCTTGACGAAAGTTGCTCCAGATACACAATCATTGTGTGTCTCTGCACCTGGTGATGACGTTTCGCTCATCACCTTGAAGTTGGAAGCGACAAATGACTTGTCGCTTCGTGCCCTAGTAGACTGTGGGGCGTCGAACAACTTTGTTCGTCGCCAGTCACTAGAGGGTCGTAGGCTCAAGTTCGTTGAGCGCGACATTCCCCTCACAAGGATGACGGTGCGCCTTGCAACAGGCGCATCGATAACCGTTGAGAAACGTGTAGTAGGAATCCACTACACGTTAGAGGGCGAGCAGTACGATGATGATTTCATCGTACTAGATCTGGATGACAAATTTGATGTCATCCTGGGATTACCTTGGCTCAGAAAATACGAGCCAAGGGTGAGCTGGCAGCATCGATCCGTGAAGATGCCTGCTGCTTGTTCATCAGATGGCCATCTGATGAACATCTTGGAGCGTCCACAAGCGTGTGGATGTTCTGCGAGTGAGTGCGATGGCCTCACTTGCGGTACGGTCGTTAGCACGACTGCACAAGATCACAGTGTAGTTGATCACTACACTGTATAGCAAGCTCCCGGCGGCTGTACAGAAGTACAGGCGGCGACGAAGGTCCACCACTCGGAGAAGTCGAGTGGAACGGGACATGGATACATGCCTAGCGGGCAGCATCTTAGACAAAATAAACCTGTTGCCTTCAAAGGGCAACATGGACATCCTAGGTCGACTGTAGAGTCGACCGTAGAGGATCGGTTCCTGACTGTGGTTGCACAGCCACAGTCGGAAGACGTCGAGGGAATAAGTCCCCACGTACTTGAGGAAGGAGTTCCTCAAGAGTTGCTTGCTGAGGGATCAGGCCCTCAGCAACCTGTGGAAGCAAGATCCCAGGAAGAAACCGAGACGTTGAACGTCTTGGTCAATGACGGATCAAGCGTAGGCGCTTATACGCTTGATCTGATTGTGCCTCCGAAGTTGACTTCGGAGATAACTCAGTTGCCAACGCTAGAACCGAAACGGTTCTTGCGTGATCTGCGTAGTGGCAAAGTCAAGCAGATCTGCGTACTCGTCACAGAGGACGAGTATGTGACCGACATTCGGTCGGCAACAGTATTTGCTGAGAACGAACG